CTCCCCAGCTCTCTGCCCTCCCCAGTTCACTGCATCCTTACCAGCAGGTCCTCCATATCTCTCACAGACTGGTTCACGTGATGCAGAATCTCCTTACAGCATTCAGCAGCCTGCTCCACCTTTGCCTTCTCCTTTGGCTCCTCTAGAGGGGTGGGGCAGGGATGTGTCAGGAGGAGCCCGAGGCCCTTAGCAGGCAGCCCTCTCTCTGACTGATACCACAGCATGTCAGAGCTAGAAGGCCCTTTGGAAAGTCAGCCACGACCCCATTTTACTGGGGAGAAACTGAGGCATCACATGGCAACTGAGTGGCAAAGTCAAGGCAGACCCCAGGTCTTGGGTGTCTGTTTCCATCTTCTCCCTGCTGCATCATAACTAGGGCAAGACCCTGCCCCCTCTCTGAGCCTCAGTTTCCTCTTCTGAACAAAGTGATCAGAGCAGGTGGTCTCTGTGGCCCAGGGAGAGGGGGCTCCTTAATCAGGATGCAACTTTAGGCCGAGACAGGATGGGTTCTGGGAGTCAGGAGGCTTGGTCCCCTCCCTGATCAGTGGAGGGAGGCCCTGCTCCCCCTTCCCCCATCCTCCTTCCCCTCCCCTCTCCCTGCTCGCTCCCTCCCTCCTCCCATCTCACCAGCTCACCTGTGTTCTGCCAGATGCTCTGCAGGAGCAGAGGGTACTTCGTAAGTCGCTGCATCTCCGTGGGGATCATGTCCTTGAGCTGCAGCCGCCGGCAGCGGGGCCTGCTCTCTGCTTCCTGGGGGCAAAGGCAGGGAGGTGACCACAGGGACCCAGGTGTCCTGACTCCCAGCCCCCGCCTCCCTGGCCCCTTGGGCCCCACCTGCACAAAGGTGCAGAACCTTGGCTCCTTTCTCTGCTTGGCCTTGAGCTGCTCCAGAGCAAAGGACTGCCGGCTACAGAACCGAGAAGAGATCTTCTGGAACCAGTGGCCCTCAGTGCCGTCGAACTGCAGGGAGATTATTGGGAGGGGGTGTGTGCACACCATGCCTCCCTTCAGACCTCCTCACAGCACTGGTGAGGAAGGAGAACTAAGGGCTGGATCCTGAGAGCCACTGGGAAGAGAAACCAAGTCAACGAGGGGGCCAGGGCCGGGAACAGGGAAGCAGGAGTGGCTAAGGGGGGGGGGCAGTGTAGCTCGGCAAACCAGTCCACCTTGGTCCCAGAAGGAAGGAAGCCGGTTGACCCGGGACACCTGAGATCCATAAGGGAGGAAGCCGGGTGACCCGGGACACCTGGGTCCCGGAAGGGAGGAAGCCGGGTGACCCGGGACACCTGAGA